CCACCTAGGACTGGATAAAGCAAAGAGAAGCCTTTGAAAGGGACCTGAGCCTGCCGTCTGCTTTAGGGTCACAGTTTTCCTTGCCCTTAGACACAAATAATTAGCAAGAGAGGTCCAATAACACTTCACTTGTCGTCCAGTACTTCTGATTAAGAAACCAGTGAGATCCTTACCCTTCGGCCCAAGAGTAGAGTTCTGGCTCAGGTCATTCCTTTTTACTCTCAGCCCAGGAGTCCCTCCTTTGGTGGGCTGTTCTCAAATTGTGCCTGGAGCTGATGTGACAGCGCCGTGTGGAGAAGCTCCCTCTCTATACCTTGGGCACGTGTTCAGTCATTTCTTAAGGAGGAAGAATGGCTTCTTACTCAAAGTCCAAGGTGAAAATGGACCCCTTGCTGATAGGGTCAGGTTACTTCCGGCACTAAGAAACCCTGTCACCCCAGTGGTCTCAACCCAGCCCTCACTTCAGGGTCACCCAGAGGGATTTTAAAGCCTGCTGGTGCTCAGGACCTGCCCCAGGGTACCTCAGTCAGAATTTCTGGAGCGGGACCCAGATGTGGGCAGTTTGGAAAGCTCCCTAGATGATTCTGCTTTGCAACCAAGGTTGAAAACTACTGATTTCACCAGGAGATTCACAGAATTCTTTATCTCGCTTAGTCTTCATAACTGCCTTTTAAAATGGGCAGGGAGGGGATGGTTATGATCACAAGTGTTTCTATAAACAAAAGGCCTGGGGAGATAAGCCATAGTCTTAAGGTCACACATAATGCCCCTTAACTGTGGAGCACAAACTCCCAGTTCAGCAGCCTGCCGGCCCATGGTCCCAGCACCAACATCACAAATGTGTCCCACCGACGCAATGGTGCCGTGGGCAGACTCCAAATCCAACTGAAATCTTCCTAAGTGCAGCTGAGAATTGGATGAATTAGAATATAGCCAGGGGACTGGGAAGTGGGGGGGCCCTCTCCCCTTCTCTGAAACCTGGCCCCCAACATGCAGGAAAGTACAGATGAGCTTCAAGGGATGGAAAGTTGATTTACTGTCCTTGAGCGGGAAATCTGGTAATGGCAGGAGCAGCTGCCTATGTACGTGTAGCTTTTTCTTCTGACGCTGATCAGCCATTGAATGCAAAATAAATAAGACAGTCCCTGCCTTGAAAGACCTTGTGGCCCAAAGGGAGTGAGGGCAGGGAGAGAAGATCAGGCAACAAGGCTGCTCCTCGGGAGGGCCCAGGTAGCTTTAGTCGTAGGACTTCAGGGGAAGAGAAAGTCATTTCTGGGAATGTGGGAAGAAGGGTTCCTGGAAAGGAAATAGATTTTCTCTTTTTACATGGAGAGAAGGAAAGAGCAAGTAGAGAAAATAAAAGCAGCACAGTCACAGAAGCAAAACAGTGCAAGGCACTGGTGAGGGGGAATCCGAGAACCCCCTACAAGGAGCAAGTAGGTAAAACTGCCAGGTGCCTATCAGACTAGTCCACAGTTCCCTGTTCACTCTGAAACAAAGGCACTAGCTTATTTAGTAATCAGATGTCCCACCAGTCAGAACTTCAGTCCTACTTTAGGGCATGGCTTCTCTTCCTTCCTGTCCCCACCACAGTTGGCTGATTGCAGATGTCAGCAGGCAATCAGGTCAGTGGCCTGGTTCTCCACCAGCCTGTCCTCCTCTCTGCCACTTGTTGACCTCTGACCCTTTGGGGTTGCTTGTACAGGAAGCAAGAGAAGTAACAATCTCTCTTGACTAGGACTGTTGTGGTGACCGGGCATTAATATCTCCAGGCTGTGACAAGTGTTTGCGGCTTACTGCTTCTCACACGGCACATCTATGGTTCCCTGGGAGATCTACCTTTCTCCCTGCCACTTCCTCTGTGGCTGGGAGTCTTTCCTGTTGACTACAGCCTGTACATGGCCATTGTAGCTAGTCACTTCCGCCTCCATCCACCTGTGGGCATCTCAAGATATGAGCAGCTTCTTTCTGCTGTGGTCTGTTTACCCTCCACTCAGCCCTCTGGGACAGGACCTAAAATGAGCCACACGATCCCCTCTGGACCATGTGCCACACTCATGCATTTCTTTGCCCCAGTACCCAATGCTGCCACCTGGCCTGTTTTGCTATCGCAGCAGCTAACCAACCCCTAATTCAAACTTCCGATTTTCCAGGTAGGCAAGGGACACACATTCACTGTGCTCCCCAAACTACAAGGGATAAGTGTCAAGGGCTCCCCATATGGTACCGTAAATGCATTCTCTCTTGACTTGGGATGAAGAGAGAACCCTGTCCCCAACTACCTTCTTAGCCAGAGGGTGAGACAGAGGTACTCATGATTTGCCAGAAGCATGTTCCAAAACTTGTCTTGTCAAAACATCTGCTTTTTCACATACAAAGTATGGAAAAGAGGTGATGAGCTGTGTAACCTGTTTTCTTGCGAGGCAGGAGGCAGAATCACTGAGCTAAATCCCCGACCCTACACACTTCCCTTTGAAGCGTGCTATACACTGCCTCAGTGCTCCAGCCAAAACTCCTTTTCAGCCTTTTATTACATTATCTATTGCCTCATTTAATAGTCACTGTGATAAAATAGATTAAACTATTCCTATCTTAGGCAACAGGAACTGAGCTTTACAATGATTAAATACCTTGACCAAAGTAGAAAAAGAAAAAAAACAGGTTTTGAATCCAGATCTCTTTAATTCTAGGCCTCTTAGGCAAAGCTAGAATGAAGTTAGCATCAGTGCTCCATAAGTATTCATTGAATGACTAAAAAGTTGATTTCCTTAGATTATACAGAACGCTACTGTCTTGATGTTTCAATAGGGAATGAAAAACTGTTGGAGGTTGCTGAGCTCTGGGTCACAGGTGACCGTGACAAAAAGGAAAATGTGACCAGGATATACCGTAGGATCCAGAAGGGACAAGGAATGAGAGGGAGAGGCGCTGTAGGAGGCCATGGGGAGAGCTTGGAAATACGTTACAAAGGACCTGGTGACTCACTTTGTTAAAATACTGAGGCAATGAAGATAGAAACCAGGTTGAAAGGACGTAAAGAGAGCAGAGGCAGCAAAGACAGGGAAGCAGCAGTTACCTCCCAGTTGGCCAAGATCTTAACTTCTGAATGGAGGCGTGGAAATGGGTGTGAGCCAGAGGGGTTAACGGGACTAAATAAAGGATATTTTTCAGAGCGAGAGGAATCTGATCTTCTTTATAGACGAGGGGCCAGAAGGTAGAGAGACTGAGGCTGCTGAAGGAAAGAGGAAAGTAACTGGAAGAGTAAGGGTCGTGGGCGGTGAGATGGGGCAGGATGAACAGAATAGAAAATGAAAGAGGCACCTTGACTCTAGGACACAAAAGAAAGAGGGAAAGGCTCGGTAAGTAGATATTGCTTATGCTGCACAGTGGGGAGAGAGAGAGAGAACAAGTGAAAGAGCTACCCCGCAGGGACTGTAACTGCTAGAGGAGGTCTTTCTCTCACTAAAGTGGGAGTCAAATGAATAGGATTTGGGGACAAGGAGTTGTAAGCAGCAGTGTTGGAGGGAGTGTTTGAAATACCTACTGTACTACCTGTATGAGAAATCAAATGTGGAATCCACAGAGTACGACTAACTGAGGTTCAACAATCTGCATTTATACAAGTCCAGAGCCACAGTGTTCTCTGTCCAAAGGGCAAAAAGAGAGAAAGCATATGACAGGTATGATCCCCAGCAAGGCACATCACAGGACATGGGCTGAAGGGTGAGGGATTCAAGTCAGCAAGGAAGGATAGGTTAAATTTTCTAGACACAAAAGGAAGCCAAGTCCCCCCCCCCATTATCCTGGGAGGTTTCAAAGATGGATAAGGGGAAATGGGAAAAGTACCAGTGGCCATAGATCAGGCTTCCTAAACAGATGAGCCCTAGAGACTTCTGAGGCATAGATGTGGCCTCATGCCTGTGTCACTTAACCTCTTCAATCAAACTGTAAGGCAACCAAGAGTTAGGAACTAGGGGAAGCAGGTCTTCAAATTATGAGAACCGGAGAACCTGGGTACTTTAGATGAATAGAACTCCAGCTTTATCCTTTCTACAGTGGCCATTTCCCCCCCACCCCCAGTACTGGGAATCAAACTCCAGCCCTTGTGCTTGTGAGGCAGGCACGGGAACCACTGAGCTAAATCCCTGGCCCTTATAATGGCCATTTTTGTTTAAGAATCTGAATAGGGATGGTTTGGGCAGTGATACGATGTAGTTGCCTTAAGTTTTAGGTATTGTATGTGGATTATTTCTATCAAACATGCAACCTCTTATTTGAAACAAAATGATCAGAGACCTTGTTTGTAGTTCTGCCTCCAAACATGACTGTATTTCAACTTTCTTTGAAAGATTATTAGTTACAATACTCTCTTGACCCTCAAGGGAACAGTGCCATGGAAACCATTAATAAGCACACAATGAAAACATGATTGTAGCTTCCTTTTGTCCTCCTCATTCTGGAAGACAAACACAGTAAAAGATCTTGATAAGCAGGTTTTTGTTGGACCTTTGTCTACCAAGTCATAGAGTCTCCAGTGACCAGACATGTGACACGGTACTGTTTAAGTAAGATTATTAGAGACTTGGGGGGAGGAATAAAAATCTATCACGCCTAAGTCAGTAAGAGTAAAATAATCACTTGAATAAGGGTCACAATGTGAATTAGTGCTGTAGACAAAAATCTCTGTCTACTCTTTAGGAAGTTCATTGGATTACCCTACTTAGCTACCTCACAAGTAGACTTGAGGAATTTAGGGTATCAGCAACCTGAACCAGCTCCAGAATGGCCCACTGGCCGTCCTGCGCAGCTCCTTGCACACTAATGAAAGCCACTTTGGGAGACAATGAATGAGATCAGGTGGCACCCCAGCCACCACTGGCCCAGGCTCATCTGAGTCTGGAGCGATATCATTCAGGCATCAACTGAGAGGTCCAAGAAGGAGATCTAAGGTTCCCTTTCAACTCTGACACCCTGTCCTCTGGCTGTCCTCTCCCTCGCAGCTCAGAATGTCCTGGCTCATCCGTGGAGTCTTAAGGGGAAACGTGTCCTTGGTGTTGGTGGAGAACAGAACTGGGAAGGAACAAAGCAGGACGGTCTGGCACCAGGCTGCCAGTGAAGGCTTGAGCTTGTGGCAGCGGGCAGTGCTTCCTCTCTTCAACGTGTCCGACAGGTGAGCCTCCACCCCCTCCCTCTCCTCCCTTCCTCCACCAGCCGCAGTGCGGAAGCGGGCCATGTCCTCCTCCTCCTGCGCTCTTTACCCTAGACCAGCGGTGGCAAACCTCTCAGAGCTTTCTGTGATACACACAGCTCCCCACCACTGCCCAGACAGACACATGCACGCACGCACCTGTGGACACCCACACTCTCTGCAGGTCACTGAGATCTCAACATTCCCCAAGGACTCTCGGTGCCAATGAGCACTCATTTTCTCCCCTCTCTCCTGGCGC